CAAATATTGAAGAAAAAATATCAGTAAGCCACTCAAAATAGGATTTTTCAGAGATTGGTTTTCAATACTTAAAACTACAAACAGTAAAGAAAGGGTATATGTAGTTGGGCGACAAGTGAGTACCTCTCCCCCCAAAAGCTTGATTTGCAGGTATTTTTATTTATTTTAAATTATTTACTTATTTATTTGGCTGCACCGGGTCTTAGTTGCTGTATATGGGATCTATTTTTTCTTGGTTGCAGCATGATCTAGTTCCCTGACCAGGGATCGAACCCGGGTCCCCTGCATTGGGAGCATGGAGTCTTAACCACTGGACCACCATGGAAGTCCCTGCAGTTATTTTTAGTTATACATAAAGTTAAATTGTTTTAAAAGTTAGAAAAAAAATCAGAGGTGATATAAACCATAAGACAAAAAAATTTAAAATAAAAGTTCCAACAACATACAGGATTCTTTGTTTTTAAAACTTCCGCTGTCAGAAACGATTTTAAAATGACCACAACAATTTTGGGGTCTGTCCTTACTCAGCTTAAGTTTGGACAAAAATATTTTAAACAGCAGCTTATAAAAACTGCGCAGAGCTATTTTCAGTGGGTTGTTCATATGTGAACAACACTTTTCTGGGAGTTCCCTGGCAGTCCAGTGGTTAGGACTCTGTGCTTTCACTGCCAAAAGCCCAGGTTCAATCCCTGGTCCAGGAACTAAGATCCCCCAAGCTGTGCGGCACAGCCAAAAAAAACCCCAAAAAACAAAAAAACCCCACCTTTCTTATGTTTCAAAAACACCTGTGTGATTTAAAAAATAGGACAGAATTAAGCTTTAATATTTGAAGGTAACTTGTTTAGACTAGAAAACTGATATCAAACTGATCAGCCTAAAAGGAATTAGTACGTAGGTACATATACAATTTTCCTGTATATTATACACCGAGGTATGATTAAAATCTTTAAAAAAATAAAATACTTCAGACAAAGAAACTGAAACTCCATTTGTCAGTTTTTAGGTTGCCCCTTTTCATTTATAAGTGACATAAAAATACTACTTTTTACACAAATTTAAGACAAATATTTTCAACAGAATGAGACACCACAATGAAGGCTTCATGAATAATTTATTCCATTTGAAGTTTTTTTTTGTTTTTTTTTTTTTTAAAAAGTATAAACCTTTTCATTTCCTCAATCACAATTTGTACAACTCAGTGTTATGGCATTCGGCAGCAATAGTGTTTGTTCCTTCTTCTTTTTTTGTTGCGTTAAAGAAAAAAAAAAAAAGCAATTGGACCATATTAAATCTCACTGCTAAACAACAACTTTAAAACGCCCCTTCATAAAGTGACCAAGCTATTTTGAGAGAGTTGATGCGGACATGTCCAGTAATGACATTACAATTTGTAGTTTAAACTCAGTAACTTTAAGGTCCACAAATCCAGTTTACTTTGAAAACTAAAGCTATTTTAAAACTTCATGAATACATCAACCTGAGGAGTATTTTAGGTCCCAAATCCAGTTTTTAAATTAATACTCCACAAAAAAGAAAACATATATATAAAAATTTAAACACAGTTCTGGGCCGATTAAAACACCAAGAAAAATCAAAAGGTCAAGATTTCTAGCAGATTTTTTTGAGGGGTGGGGGGAAACAAACAAACAAAAATGTATGTCAAAAACATTTTTCCTTAATTTAGACAAACTAAACTCTTAAGAGGAAACCCAGACCAAAACATCACTCATGCAACATTAAATGTATTAACAGACTGATATGCGATGCCATAGTGGATGAATAGCAAATTATATGATGCAACAGCATTTAAAAACTTCCTTTTAATGTATTCAATTTGAACATTTTAAATAATGCAACATAGTACTTTGATATTACAGTATTAACATAGTGCTTGATTAAAGATCTGAAAATCTTTGTAGTAACACATTAAGTTAAAAAATTACCTCAGAAGGTAAATATGAAGACGAAAGGAGAATATTTTAATACAGTAATCTGTGCCATACTGACAATTGAGTACGAATACAGCTGAGGATAGTTGACTAAGTAGTAAGAGCTTAATTTTAGTGGTTTAAGAAAAGTTAGAAAGATTTAAAAATTACAGCTACTTTAAAATTTAAGGATTACATATAAGTACACTTGGTGGCCTTCTGGCCAAACAATAAGGTGTACAGAAATTTATTCATACAGTGTTAATTCACAGTCCTGATAACTGAATGGCTTGCATAAGAAAGGTATGGCTAGATGTTTCTCACTGGCTGGAAGCAGACATTATATAACTAATCTTTTAAAATGCCAAAATATTCAACTCCCACCCTGCTTTGTAATGGATAACTGCACAAAATACAGACATTAGCACTGTAACAAAGAAGTCAAGGTGTTGGTGACCAACTGGTATAAAGTATATTACTTTGCTTACCTATTTAAACAAAACAAAACTACCCATTACTTGTCTGTGACAGTACATTAGTAGTCAGATTCATCATCCTGCATGAAAGGCTTAATTTATTTATTTTTCCTGAACCAAATCTCCTGACCTTTTCTAATGGCTATTTAATAATTTTCTATTTGAGTGTGAATTTATATATGAAGGGCAGAAAAAAAATCTTATCAGTAAATCCTGTATATTTGGGAACTATTCCCTGATTCCCAGACAAAAAGGAATTGTATAATGGGTTCCTTCCTTATGGCTCCATATAAAAGAAACTATCAGGGAATAATTTTTTAAAAATCTGTTTTCAAACTGAGGTGTGGTTACTATAGGCTAGTGATTTAAACAACTGAGAATACAGCTTTTATTTGTAAGAGTCACTATTGAGTTAATAAAATATATAAAAAAGGATACTGTTTTAATAGAAATTCCCAATAAGCATCTTTCCCCTCAAATCTCAGACAAGTTTTTTTTTTAAACTACAGAACAAAATATGCCAACATAATCTGTAGTGTGTTAGCATAATTTAAGAACAAATGCAGAGATGTGATCTTTAAATTTTAACTTCAAAATATGCTGACCATTGGGATTGCATTATAATTTTGAAGAAATGATCAGAAACCTGTCACCAATTGTTTTTTTCTATAGGAAAAACAAGACTTGCTAATGTTTCAATATACACAATTTGAAGAAATTATATTGTTCATAAGAAAGTGATATTTAAGCTAAGCATATAGTATTTACAAAACAAGTTTCAGTTAAAAAAACAAACAAAAGCCAACCAAAAAAACAACAAAACATACCAAATTACAGTTTTGTAAATACAATCAATTTTGTCCTTGTAGAGAATTAGTGAACATACAAATTCAAAATTTAGCTAGACTGCTTCCAAGAAAGACAGGTAGACTTGGCGACTGTGAATTCAAGTCAGCGACACAGGTAGGAGGCTAACTTGGACTCTCTTGTGAGCAGCACTGTAGAAAGGATTTTTTAAGGGGATAAAGCCTGCATAGAAGCAGTTATCTCGGCATGTGCAAACAAGAAGAGGGAAAGCTGTATTGAAGGAAGGGGTGAATTAAAGTCCCTAAAATTCAAGTCCCTTCTTTAGGGAGGTGAGAACCTCCTTGGCATATGCCCTGCCTTAATCTGAGCTGTGTTACAGAAAAGTACAGACTCTGGTGTTTGGGACTGCCATCTCCAAACCAAGAAAATTAAATAAATAAAAAGGCAAAAGGAAACAGGTTAAGTTTAGAAAATGGTTCTTTAACTAGTGGAATAGTCTGAATACCAGAATTCACTGAGGATCTATTTACACCACAGTTTGATTGCACTCACACATCCATACATATGCATACTCTCACACACATTCCCAATCTTTAATTAAAAAAAAAAAAAAGAAGTCAATCAAGAGTGACTGCTCTTAAAATAATTTGTAAAATGCCTAGAGCTGGGCTAAATTTCAACCTTATAGCAGATCCTGAAGATAATTTTCTTAAGTAATAATATTCCCATGCCTAGATGTGCCACTGTTAAAACAACAACAAAAAATGTAAGCATGTAACATTAAACACCAAAATTAGTTTAAGCATTCAGTAGCAAATGTTTTTCTTGTAAAACTAAGTTTCTTTCACTGGAAATGGCCTGAAATAGTCATAGCCCTAAACCATAGTACAAAATATAACTGAAGAATTCTCATTTTATTCTAAGTTAAACCACCTAACAATATCACTTGTATATTGCCATCATGTTATTCTGTAAAGGTGTGACTGATATATAAAATGTTGTAAGACCTGGTACCTTTTCAATTTATAAACACAGTGAACTTCATTACTGTACATGTACTCTGCAACTACAGCTTAGCTGTAAATCCTCCACACACAATGGTATGGACATTATTCCCCCTCTATCCCCATTAAACTGTACATCAAGACAATACAAATTTACTGTCCCACCCACCCCCTTACAAAAAAATAATACTCTAAAAGCAACCCTACTGCAACTTTTTAATTAAGACGATTACATATATTTTAGACCAATTGCTTTAAAGCAAGAAGGCAGTATAAACCTTCTAGGAAAATTTTTATAAAAGAGGTTAAGAAATATAAGACAATTTATACATTTAAAAACTTACAATAAATAAGAGATGCAGGCATTTTGAATACTAGATACTATAATCCAATACAAGAACATCTTGATGTTCTGAAGCCATATGTTGGAATTCATTGTTCCTCATGTTTCCTTCTCCATGCTTTTAATATTCATTTAACATGACTGGGTACTATGGCTCATTACTTTTCACAAATACTGTGACTGGAAAAAAAAGGTTAATTTTGCTACGAAAATGTTATAATACGCTTTGTATGATCAGTCATCATCCTAAAGAGTTCATTATAGTCAATGAAAAATAACAGGGTTATCGCCCATACCCCCAAGTCAAAACAATATTTGTTGAAGTAATAAGAATTAGACCCCATCACAAATGACTTTCACTGAGAAGATAATTGTAACTTAATCTTGCAGCGAAATATCTTTTTCCCTTGTTCTTTTCTTGCACAGTTCCATCAAATGAAGATCACAGCATATTCATGATAAAGTTATATAACTGATTCAGCACCACAAAATGAATTGGGAGACATGAGCGTCTGTCCTGGATTGCAGGGTCACAGGTTAGCCAGGAGAGTGCATTGTACTGTTCCAAAACAAACCTGAAAAGCAAGTAAACTATATAAGTCACGTATTTACTTGCGCTTTAAATTCTGGAAGCAGTTTCCAATGATGGCATCTAAGATTCAAAGTCAATTTAAAGAAAAAAGTGGAAGGTATGAAATAGAGAGTCTTGAGAAGACTAAAGAAAACTGATTTTCATTAAAATTGTTCTCAAAAGTAGATTACACGTGTTAGAAAGAAAAGCACTCACTCTGAATGATATATAATTCATCTAGCAATCCAAGGGTGCACAACTGTAAACTACCGCCAAAAATGAGAAAAATACATAAGGATCAACACTGTATTCTTGCAAAGTTGCTATGGAGAACTCTTAATGGTAAAAAGAGCTGTACCTGAGGACATCTGAAGTCTGATTTGAGTCAAGTGGGTGGGAGTGTTTACTGTGAAGCAGCTCGTCAGATTGCACTGAAGGCACGTGGAGGTGCAAAGAGGCCTAAAAAATAACAGGTAATCAGTCAGCCAAATGGAAAAGATCTGTTGGTTTTACCTTATTCTCGCAAGGTCTCTTCCTTGATGAAATACATTTTAGATCTATGTAATGAATGGGAGCCACATAAACATGTTTGATCTTCTTTAATTCATTACATAAGTAATTCTTAAGTGCGTACTTAAAACTTTTTCAGCTCTATTGCTTTTGAGACCGCATAATAATCCTGAAAAAAGGATCTCTACTTATTTGCTAAGTGTAACCTGCCTAGATATGTAAAGTAAATGTTTAAGAAAGCACAAAACTGATAAACCTGAGTACAGTCTCTAGGTTACATAGACTGTGCAAATTAACCTAGGTCTAGCAATGAAAAAAGTTAATAGAAGTAAGCATATGCAAATATTTTACTCATAAAGTGATAAATCTTAAGCAGAGCTACCTCTGGTGGAATTATGAGCACAGATGCATTCTTTTGCCCACTCAATTTCACAATGGAGGCTTAATAACAACTGGCACACCCATTTAGGTATGGCAATGAAGAATGAAAGAAAGGAATGTGGTACTCGTTTCACATTTCAGTTCCACGACCAGGGATCAAACCCGAGCCCCCTGCAGTGGAAGTGCACAGTCCTAGCCACTGGACCACCAGGGAAGTCCCCATAGAAACTCTTGACAGGTCTCATTCTGTATACTACTGTAAAAGGTACTATTTTATATTTAGGTGTTCTCTCCTCTACAATTGCAATATACGTATAAAATCTTGTTGTATATTCAGAAATATAACCAAAAATATGTTTCAACTGCCCATAAACTCTTGATTTGAATTATAAGCAAGTCTCTCATGTGGCAGATCACTACAAATAAATGAATGTAATTAGTACCAGTGCTCTAATTTCAGTAATAAAAAGATTTTTTAATCATCTAGGTAACAACCTATTTTTTTCCCAAGAGAAACATACCAGATGGTTTTATTTGCCTGTGGTATAGAAATAAAATGGGATGTATGAAAACAAAAGGTGAACAAAATTATGGTAAGTTATGCCTTACCTGATAATTCAGACCAGAAGTCCTAATCTTGTTACACTGTATCTGAGGGTGAATGCCCACTTTACACTATCCTCTCTGCAAATATTGAGTAGAAAAGAATCTGGATAGTCCCTTGGACTTTTTTTGAAGTGGTGTTTCTTAAAAATATGTTCTGTGAAACACTACTAACAGGTGTTACACAACCCTTTTCCTGTGTATTAAAGTAAGTTTGGTAAATGGTAGGTAAACAATGTTATTTGCTGCTGTTTTTTAGAGCTTTTAATGTGTATTCTAACAACGAAAGGGTGGTGGGGGCAGAAAGCACATGTAGCACTTCCGAAAGGACCAAAGAACACTTTGTTTCGTAGAAATTCCAAGGATTACTATGATGCAGAAACCCCCTTGGGAATATGTTCTTGTAATGAGATCTGTGTAGACCACTGCACAAAGAACAGACTGGAAGGGGAAGAAAAGTCATATGCTAAAACTATTACCTTGGCCGACACTCTCTAATTATATTACCTCACTAATAGTCAATTCAGATCAACAGCTCTTGTATTCTTCATGAATGTGCCACAGCAATTCACTGCTTAATCACAAATGTCACTGACTCAATGGTATGTGAGCCAAGGGAACCAAGATTTAATAGCAACAGGCTTAAAAGACAGCAACAAGCCTATTGGTTAAAGTACCCACTAAAATATAACCCTAAAAAACTAAAGCATACTATTCAATTTTTACCCTACAAATAAAAATCAGCTGGCAAGTAGTTAAGTTAGCATGATTTATGGACTAAATCAGTCAACTTCTGGTGGGTTTATATAAGTGAAATCACATCTAAATTTGTTATTTTGGAATAGTAGTAGCAGCAGGAACAAACTCTAGACAGGGCTTTCATGCCTCGTTTTACCATTTTATGATTTATCTCAACCTTGTTATATCACTTGCTAATGAATTTGTTTCGATAAAATAAGTCACTGTGGGTCTGAGAATCTCATTACTTGAAAACCACTCAATAGTTTAACAGCAATTTACACAAAGCTAGAAAGCTTTTTTAAGGAGGTAGTAAATGGATCTAAATATCAAATATTTTTACAAAGATTATGAGAACTTTAATTCCCAAAATGAGGCACAATAGGAGTGCAGAATGACATAATTCAAAGAATAACACTACATAATCATGAAAAGATCCGGGTTTTAATCTTGAGTCTATTACCAATTTATGACTTTGGACAAATGAGTTTTCCTGAACTTTTAATATGCTCACCAAGAAAATGAAGAAGTTAGATTAAGGGTAATATAAGGTTTCTCCCAGCTCTAAACGTCTATACGTGCAGCTGAAAATAACTAAGAGTAAGGGTCCCAGAAATTCGATTTAAAGTTATTTAAAGGTTTAAACTTAATATGAATTTAAGAATTACAGTTGTTTCATAATTAGATTCATAATTCTCTCTGTAATCTTGTCTAGAGAGTCATATATGGCAATGCATTTAAGACCTCAGACAAAAGCTACAAGAGTTCAAAAAGCCACTTCTCTGTTTCTTAGGACTTAAGCTGTCAATTAGGAATTGGCCAAAAAAAAAAAAAAAGCAATACCTTAAGAAAAAGGGGACACTGATATTGTGCTTGAGGACATGCTGACCAGAACCAGTCAGGTAACGGACCCGCTTTGGCAGTTGATACAAAGTAACCAAGGGCCAATGGTTGCTGAAGAATATTAGTTACTTCATCATGAGATTCTGTTGAAAGTAGCCGATCAGTACCCTGACCCTTAAAAAGACAAAATTAAAACTGTGTTAGTTCATTTGATATAGCTAGCACTAGCTATAAATACAGAATGGTTTATGGCAATCAGTCTCATTATTTTATTACTTCAATTTAAAAAATACTGAAGGATATTTTAGAAAGTCAATTGCTATGTATCATAATTCGCATTAAATAATGAGGTTTAATAGTTGCATGAGGAAATGAATATACCAAGTATTTAACAAGTTTGTATTATGTCAAGCCCGTGTTCAGTGTGTGTGTATATAAACCTTTGCATCTGACTGAAAAATACAAAATATTCAATGAACTTTCTTATTTCCTAATACGCCCTCAACAAATTCCTATCACACCCCAATCCAAAAGGTGGATTAAATTTAGCTTTGTTGGGCTTGCCTGGTTGCGCAGTGGTTGAGAGTCCGCCTGCCGATACAGGGGATACGGGTTCGTGCCCCGGTCTGGGAAGATCCCACATGCCGCAGAGCGGCTGGGCCCGTGAGTCATGGCCGCTGACCCTGCGCGTCCGGAGCCTGTGCTCCGCAACGGGAGAGGCCACAGCAGTGAGAGGCCCCCGTACCGCAAAAAGAAAATAAATAAATAAAAAATAAATAAATTTAGCTTTGTTTATCTAGCACTATCTATAAAATGCAGTTAATAGTGTTTTGGAAAGAAATATGGCAACATGAAGAGCCAACTATTAAAGTGATGCTCATATCCTTTAGATTAGTCAATGCATTCTTTGGTATTTATTTTAAGGAAACATAAAAAAAAGATATACATGGAAATGCTCACTGCAATTATTACCTAAAACAGAAAAAAATAAAAGACTTAAATGTCCAACGTTTGGGGAATGATATAACAAATTATGGTAAAGCAACAATGTAACATTAAAAAGCTGCTAAGGGAACTCCCTGGCGGTCCAGTGGTTAGGACTCCATGCTTCCACTGCAGGGGTACACGTGTTTGATCCCTGGTCGGGGAACTAAGATCCCGCAAGCCGAGTGGCCAAAAATAAAAAATATGAAAAGCTGCTTATACTTTTTGAAAGCTGCAACATGTGAAAGGAAGGTAATTTGCTAAAAGCAAAAATGGTTTCTGGGAATTCCCTGGAGGTCCAGTGATTAGGACCCCACACTTTCACTGACGAGGGCGCGGGTTCAAACCTGGTCTCGCAAGCTGCACAGAGCAGCCAAAAAAAAGGTAAAATTGATTTTAGTAAAGAGGTATGATTATTGGTGCTTTTCCTTATGTATTTTTTCTCTTTTTTCTGTAATCTCATTTCTTTCCAGTTAAAAAAGAAAAAGGAGGAAAGGATGCAAGGTAAGGTTGGATAAAGATGATTTTTTATTTTAAACTTATGTACATTACAATAATCAAATAACCACTATATATAATTTCATTCAAATAATGATGTTATTCAAATGAAGCCCAATTAGTTTTGAGTTCAAGTAGAATGACAAGACAGCCTGCTTCCATAGCTGCTAAAAATAAGGGGGCGGGGGCGGGGGGGCGCACGCGAGGATCAGTGTTTTTTCTGTTCTTATTAGAAAATTATTTCATGTTCCTTGTCACAGCCCTGATACGAATGGCAGCTCTTACAGTAATATACTGATTCTCAGATAATATAATCCTATATCCTGCTATGGTGAAGTAGCAGGAAAACTATAAATATAAAAGAAGGATTAATGCCAAGTAGTCTAGAAAATACAAAGTCCAAGAAAGCAGAACCTTAGAGACTCTCTTAATAACGTACAACTCAACACACTGGTGTCTCTAAGGTAGAAGTACATGAATGTACTGCTGTAATGTTCTTGCTAATTTTCAAGGAAAAAAAGTGTTCTATTTCATTGATATAATCCGTTACTAAGTTAATGAATGACACTTAGATAAACTGAACTTTTATAACAAGGTTACCTTGCCAGCATCACCTCCATGGGGGTAATGAGATCCTGGAGAATGAACAGGAGATCCCGTTGGAGATGCAGGAAGGATATTAATGATATCAGGGTCAAGATCATCTCCTGTGTCTAACAAATCAAAGATACCCATTCCATCTGCTCCATCTATATAGGAGGAAGAAAAAAATTAAATACTCCATTTTTCATATCCTATGGTCATTTACAGGAGAGAGTTAATGGACTTTAACCAAAATGAGTTAATCAACATCTACCGAATGTCTACTATGTGCCAACTACTGTGCTGGGAGCCAAATAATCAACTATGCATAAATAAGCATGTGGTAGTCTGAATAAGGGCCCCCCAAAGATGTCGAAATCCTAATCCCAGGAATCTGTGAATATGTTACCATAAAGAACTCTGCAGATGTGATCAAGCTAAAGATCTTGAAATGGGGAGATTATTCTGGATTATCCAGGTGGGTCCAATGTAATCACAGGGGTCCTAATAAGAGGGAGGCGGTACCATTAAGAGTCAGTGAAGATGTGACTATACTAAACTGCTGGCACTGAAGATGGAAAAAGGGGCCATGAGAAAGAGATGTAGGTGGTCTCTAGAAGCTGGCAAAGGAAAGCAAACAGATTCTCCCTTACAGCCTCTAGAAAGAACCAATCCTGCAGACACCTTGACTTTATAGCCCAGTAAGACTGAGTTTGGACTTCTGACTTCCAGAACTGTAAGACAGTAAATGTGTGTTGTTTTAAGCCACTATCTATCTGGTAATTTGTTACAAATAGCAATAGGAAACTAATACAAATGCTGGAAATGAAAACATATTTAAAATGAGACCATTCACGACTAATTCCTAAATTCTTTACTATTAAAATATTCAAGTTACTGTATAACACACTAAAAGAGGAGAATAATTAATACCCATACTTATGATTTTAGAGAGATGCCATTTTCTAAGGTAACCACTCAGAGCAACAATGGAATATCACTTATTTTCTCTTCTATTAAAATGCAATCAATAGGTTCATCTAGAAAACTTACAAATTACTATATTATTCTGGCAAACCAAAATACAAAATGACCTGCAAAGTTCATATACAGGTAACTCAACAGCACATACATAAACCTGTACATTGGGACTTCCCTGGTGGCGCAGTGGTTGGGAATCCGCCTGCCAGTGCAGGGGACACTGGTTCGAGCCCTGGTTCGGGAGGATGCCACATGCCATGGAGCGACTGGGCCCGTGAGCCACAGCTACTGAGCCTGCGCGTCTGGAGCCTGTGCTCTGCAACAGGAGAGGCTGTGATAGTGAGAGGCCCATGCACTGCGATGAAGAGTGGCCCCGCTTGCCACAACTAGGGAAAGCCCTTGCACAGAAATGAAGACCGAACACAGCAAAAATAAATTAATTAATAAACTCCTACCCACAACATCTTCTTAAAAAAAAAAAACAAACCTGTACAAATATTTTATGATCCATGTTGGCTTTTAAAATAAGTAAACATTTATGGGATAATTCATAGCACTAGTTCTGCTATCAATAAGGTAGAAGAATGGTTGTATTAGTTTCCTGTTGCACTTCAACAAATTACCACAAACTCGTTGATGTGAAACAACATACATTATTCTCTTACAGTTCTGGGGGCGAGAAGTCCAAAATCAGTTTTATTGGGTTGAAATCAAAGTGTTAGTCATTAGGCCAAAATGAAGGTACTGGCAGGGCTATGTTCTCCCTTGAGGCTCCAGGGGAAAATCCATTTCCTTGTCTTTTCCAGCATCTGGATCCGTCTTCAAGGTCAGCGGCATAGTCATTTCTCTCTGACTTTGCTTTCCTGTTTCCACCACATGCCCTTCTCCTCTTTTGTGTACAGTCAAATTTCTCTCTATCTCCCTCTTATAAGGATATATAAGATTGCATTTTGGGCCACCTGCATAAGCCAGGGTACTCTCTCCATCTTAGGATCCTTAATTTAATCAGATCTGCAAGTCTTTTTTTTGGGTGGGGGAGAGGGCATATAAGGTAACATTCACAGGTTTCAGGAACATTCACAGGACACAGATGTTTTGGGAGGTATTATCCACCCTATAATCAGCCACAATCATCCAGATTTATTTTATATTTGCAAACCTGTACAGAACAATCCACCTACCATTGTTGGGATTGAAAGCTAAGTCCAAATTTTCAGTGGTATACGTAGCTGAAGCTACTTGCACAGAAGCAGAAGTAGGAAACACAAGTATATGAGTACATGATGTATCCTGTGGGGTGTTAAGCTGAGATGTCTGCATGTTTAGAGTGGTGCTTCTTCCAAATACAGAACCAGTTGACACAGAATCTGGAAAGAAAATGAAAGGTATTTTTTTCTTTTAATAAATGAAAAATCGATTTTACAAAATACGTAGAAACTTAAGCACATAAAGAATTAAATCTGATATAAACTAAAGATAGCTAACCTGGCATAATAACAAAAGAGCCTTGGGGTTCCATTGCTACCAAGCAAGCACTGAGAATGCTGGGAGAGTCTGCAGCAGATATACCACACATTCTACACATGTCTTTCAGCCTTTTACTTAGAGACTGCAAGTTTCGACGACTCAGCAAACAGCTCCAATCTGTGGGTATCAACAGTAAAAAAAAAAGAAAATATCTAAATTAACAGCATTGTTAACACTGTACAGAACAAAAAGTTAAAACATAATGGTTTTAAAATTAATGTATTCTTCAAGAGTCATCATTAAGTCAAAAAACTCTTATTACTGACTTTACTCAACATCCTTTATCCCAACTTTAATGTACATTAATATCAATTAGGACCTGCTGAA